TCCCCCCCCCCCCCCCGGATGGCAGCCTGCGGCAAGTACAACCGGGCTGATGGCCGAGTGCGTTGATGTGCCAAGCGTGGGCACTTACTGCACTCCAAGACAGGACTGCTTTGCTGTCCCTCATCGAGTTAGACAAGCAAGCGGGGAACCCTTAACCTTGGTTCAGGGTTCACTCAATGTGGACATGCTAGTTCGAATTAGCAAAACGCTAATTCGAATTAGTTTTTAGGTCTAGATGCACTAATTCGAATTAACTAATTTGAATTAAGTTAGTTCGAATTAGTGCTATAGTGTAGACATACCCTAAGGTACTGTAAGACTATTTGTTTAAGTTTTTTTCAGGCACATGGCTGTGAGGGACAGAGAAGCCATAAGAGAGAGACCGCAGCAGTGGCTCAAGGAGGTTTAAACTCCTGAAGGGTTAACTGACCCAGAGAGAAGAAGGCATGTGAAGGAGGGAGAACATGGCTTTCCACTGCTCAAGTATTGGGGGAAAAGTTAAATTAGATGAATACCATCAGGAGCAAAACCAATTGCCATTGTCTGCTGCTGCAGCAGCAGAGAATCTGGCAGCATGTAGGAGCTGCAGGGGTCTGGCTAGACTGTGCGCCAACAAAACACCGATCAACCTCTGTGAGCTGCAGAGAATGTGGGTCAGATGTCCAGAAGTGTGGAAGATGCTGGGCTGCAGAATGAAAAGCCATATAGTGCCTTTGTGAAGCACTTATGCCACATTTGCAACCTAATACTCTTCAGGAACCTGTCCTCTTTCTACATTTTCCAACAGAAATCACAAAAAAGATACGTCTTCTACTGTAGTTTGCTCTATACAAACCTTTGGAGTGAATAATTGTAGGAGAACTTTGAAAGAAATCTCCAAGCTTTTGTAGGGTTCCATCTTTTTTCTGCATTGATTTTGTACTTGAAGTCAATACTTGTTTTCTTAACAGATATTCCTTTCTAAATGATTGCGTAGTGGCCATCTAAACAAAAATACTAGATAAGTAAAGTAGTGAACCATAATTTCATTTTTTTATTCTACAAATTAAATTTGATAATCAGATGGCTCATTTTTACTTTTTAACATATATAGACTTCAGTTTTTAATTTATACCTAACTCTGTTCCTTTAATTTGAGAGCTAAGGGCACTTGTATATGTACTTATATAAATGATCCAAGGCAATCTGAATATTCTGACGGCAACAGAGTTTAATAAAACAAGTGTTATACAACACAAAAATCCACCAAAATATAAACAAAATTATAAAAACAGAGGTTCTGGCCTCACTAAAAACAGTAGCAAAATTCCCAGTGACTTCCCAGGATTTCACTCCATGTACTGTGTACATATTAATTCTTACTCAGAGTTTTTACACCAGACAATTTTGTAGCACTTCAGAGGATTTCAAAGTACTTTCCTAAAAATCATTGGGACGTACAGGGATTGTTTCACCCTGATATACAATGGGAAATGATAGTAGTTTCATAGTACTCAGCAACATTAAATAATTGTAAGGAAAAGCTTTAAAAACCACTAGTCCGAATTTGTTTTTACCTGCTCTAATGGCCAAAGGCTTTGTGGTTTTTTTTGTTTTGTTTTTTTTAACTACTCTGCTATGACTGAAAGGTTCAAGGAAGTTCTATTTCTGTTATTGTTGAGTTATTAGGTATTAGGCAGCATTGTGTCTAGTTAGTTTCAGTGTTTTCTCCTCATTTGTTCCATGTTTACTCATTTGTTGTTTCTTGACTTAATTTAGGCCCTGAGTTTTCCATAGAATCTACTTAGGCACACCTTTGTATCCACAAGGATCTTTTGAAATCAATGGGGCTTTTGCTATGTAGGTCAAACCTTGTGCCTACACAAATCCAGGACAAAAGTGGGACTGTTTACACTATGCCTTTGCACTTACCTCAAATGCTCCTACATTGATATGATTTGGGCCTATACATGATACCACATTATACAAACATTATTACAAATCTTGTCAATTAGTTTCCACTATTTGAGAGGGTTCTTACCATAAGAGTGTAGAGAAACTCGTTTTATAAATAGAAAAAAATTAATAAGAATCACAAAAATTGTCAGAGGTACTTGGGGGCATGTATTTGCTGGCTGGCTAAAGGCAGAACAAATCAGACTGCCAACACTGGATAAGGGATGTTCTGAAGGAAGGGAGGGAGGGTTCTGAAGTGGCTTTGGGGATAGGGCATTTACCTGGGGAGTACAGGGTAGTAGGTTCAAACCCCACTCCATCTATCCATCCTGGAAGTGTCCAGACCCCCAACACAGGATAAGGGACATCCTGGAGGGAGGGAGGACTCTGGAGTGGCTATGGGGATAGGGCATTGGCCTGGGGAGCACAAGGTGGCAGAAAAGTGCTGCCTCATATCATAAACACTGCTTAGATTTAAGCCACATATTTGCAGGACAGCTCAGCCATGCCTGAGTGGGGGCAGAGGACTCAAAGGGAATTGTTCCAATTGCAGATACAGGTGTTTGAAATCACTATGCTGCTATTTATCAAATCTAGGGAAGAAATGGGAGAAAGATTAAAGTTGCAATAGCACAAAAATGAATGCTAATAAAGGTTTTAAAACAAAGTGGCTGAGAGAAACTAAACCACTAACTTGTGCCACCAGTGGAGGCAGAAAATCTGGAGGGCCTGAGTTGAAGAGCAGAGTCTAGCACGCTTGTGCTCCCAATAACACTGGACTGTGTCCAAGTTCCATAGGTGGAGGCACTAGCCCAGGAGTAATGATTGACGAGAGAAGCTGTGCTACAAAATCCAGGTAATGACTGAGTCACTTGCAGAATCTAATTGGATGGTACGGGGATGCCAGACAAGTGCACACAAAGTATAAATACTGCTTAGTAAACCAAAAAAACCCTTTTTAAAGCCCCTTAATTATTTACATATATCTGTATTCACATAACATCCAAACCAACTTCAACAGAATAAAACAAAACAAACAAACCGTTTTCTTCTTGTTTTTATCAGATCTGGATGTTGTCGATAAAGCAGTATCTGTTGTAGGTGTGGCATTTTTCTTGTTTTCATTCTTCACATAGTCCTAAGAAAATGAAGTATATGGTAAATTTCAACCGCAGTTTGCCACAGATTACAATTTTTTTTCCTGGAAAAGTAGCAGTTGTGTAAAGCAGCAGCCAACATCTGAATTAGGCATGTTAAGAAGCGAGTAATTTGCTAATCGTGTAGTTGATAGAATTTGCATTGACTACACAATTAGTCAATAAGGCAAGGCAATTAAAGTGCTCAGTCCCAGCTCACACCATGTCCAGGCTCAGTCCTGGCTCATGCTGGGTATGGGACTGAACCGCCCCTGTGACTCTGCAATTTAAAAAGGTAGTAGGCAGGCTGCCTGCCCACCCAGGTCCTACTAACTTTTATATGCAGAGCCGCATCAGAGGGTAGGTCCCGCACCAAGGCTCTGCATTTAAATGTCTATAGTTGATAGCATTAACTGATAAGCATTTGATTATCAGTTAATCAGCTAAATCAACTATACTATTGCATCCTTGATCTCAATTGCTATAGTCAGTTATTAATGAGCTACTAGTTAGCATTTCCTGAGTAGTAAACAGTAGATATTTATTCACACCAAAATGAAAGCTAAATCTTCTGAATTGAAGTCAACAGGAAATAATGGTAGTTATCCCAGTCTGACATTTGCTATTTTTCTTCTCCACCATTTCATCTATATGGGTGTTCTCTTCTCAAATATCTTAAAACTAAAGTTGGAAGTCTTTCAGATGAATGCAAATTTAGCTACCTGATGTAAATTCAAATTGATAGCATTTTACCATTGTTGAGCTGTCTGTGAGAGGCATCTTCTATTTTTGGGATGTGATATCACTTCCATGTATAATAAACTTTCCTTTCAAAATTAATATAAAAAGCACGATTGCACATGGATAGTTCAGTAAAAAGACAATCAAATATAGTACTTGAAAACCCTAGCATGCAATTTTGATAACACTTGTGGCTGGGTTCTTTTAGAAACACAGAACAAAGGGGATGATTTCATGTACATGGGCTGTCAAGCAAATCTAGTCGCATAGGGAACAAAGGACTAATAAGGTGAAAAAGTTGCTGAATTAAACATGGAACCCTATGTTAAACTGTTAGCTGTTTAAGTCTCAACTAAAACAAACCCTAATCAATCAATGCATTTTTAAGGTGTCGAAGGCTGGATCTACACTATGGGGAAAGTTAAATTAAGATATGCAATTCCAGCTACATTAGTTATGTTGACTCCAGGTACGTATCTTAATTCATGTTTCTGTGCAGTCTTCACAGCTCATGAGAAGCAGGTGTACCAAGTTCAATTTAGTGGGTCTTTACTAGAGCCGTTAAATTGAACTCTGGAAGATCGGTCGTGGCAGCGTCAAACCTCCCCACAGAGAAGACATAGCCTATGGAGTTTTCCCCTTGTCCTCTGCTATTCTTAGTGCTCAAAATATCTTACCACTAGTTATGCCTGATACTTATCCATTAATTTCAACCCTTTGTCTAAAATCATGATTTGGAGGTTTCAGGAAACTATAAAAGAAAATAAGTCAGTACATTTAACTTTGAAATTCAGGTTTGTTGAATTCTCCCCCCCTTCCTGGTTTCCTATTTGGTCAGTGACGAATTTAGAAAGAAAAATAGAAGTATATTAGAATTAAAAAAAAGTTTGGACTTTTTTTAAAGTACCAATAAAATAAGAAAATACTTGAAGATGCTACTAATTTTAGTCCAGGAGTGTTGCAATTTTATTGTGACTTAGCTAAATGAGGTATGAAGAGGGATTATTTCAGTATAAAAATCTCTCTAAAGTACTCATCTACCATACAAACAGCTCTAAGTTACAGATGAGCACATTTCATCTATCACACAAAGTGGTTCAATACCTGACCAAGGGCTTCAGAAGTGTGTTTATTTCTACATTTGCTTTTCCAGCAGCATGAAAGCATATTACTCTTGAAGGAAATGGGTTGAAAAAAAAAAAAAAAAAAAAACCCAGAAGTAATTTTAATAGACAATTGTGGATACTACTCTTTTCCAAAATATTTTATAATCAGAATTCCAGTTCAAATGTTTAGTTATATAGTCTTCACCAAAAATGCTTTTGCATTTAGGTTTTGAAAACAACAAAATGCAGAAATTATAATTTTTAATACCATTTTCAAATACACTGAACTGAAACCTACTTCTCCTTGTGCTAAAATAAGCATTCTGAGAATCTTGCATGAAAGGTACCAATGAAGTATGACATTTTCCCTTTTTTCAGCAAAATGCCTGATTCCACCCATAGCCATATTTTACGAATGGTGCCCCTCCAACTCACCAGCCATTGCCAGTACACTTCAGAAGTTCTGAGAGGGATCTAGATCATAACACACAAGAAAGGTACTGTGATATAGCACCTGGTGTGTGTAGCCTGGATCTCAACTTACAATCTGGCACTAGCGTTAATTGCCAAAATAAAAGATTCTGTCTTTATTTCACAATTGCTATTGACTATATTACAAAAGGAAAGAGGTGGGATGGTTTCAGGAAATGAAAGCCTGCTCAAGCCACCACTTCAAGGTCTTAAGAAAAATAAGTCAAACTCAAATACTTATACAAAATAAAGAGGATATTTTTATGTAGCTGATTTGCATAGCAGGAGAACATTTTTATTTTTTATTCCGACCAAAAACATAAGCCATCCACAAATGATGCTTATTCAAAGCACTAGATACCCTTGGCATATATTTAAAGCCAAAACATAGGAGCTACAAAAAACATTAAAAAATCCAAAGCAATAGCTCCTCTCCTTACCACACATTTATTCACCAATCATGTATGCATTACAGTTTTAAATTACCAGTGCACTTCCACCATGTACAGTGAAAGCTGTGTTGTTATCTGGCACTCATAGGGTATGTCTACACTACCCCCCTAGTTCGAACTAGGGTGGTAATGTAGGCAACCGGAGTTGCAAATGAAGCCCGGGATTTGAATTTCCCGGGCTTCATTTGCATCTTGCTGGGCGCTGCCATTTTTAAATGTCTGCTAGTGCGGACTCCGTGACGAGGAGAAACGAGGAGTAATGGTAGTTTGGACTAGGAAACCTAGTCCAAACTACCTAGTCTGTGCCACGTGTAGCCGCGCGGCACGGAGTCCGCACTAGCGGACATTTAAAAATGGCGGCGCCTGGCGAGATGCAAATGAAGCCCGGGAAATTTAAATCCCGGGCTTCATTTGCAACTCTGGTTGCCTACATTACCACCCTAATTCGAACTAGGGTGGTAGTGTAGACATACCCATAGGGAATGGGGTGTTGCCAGTTAATTTAATATGCTGGATAATAAAGCTTATTGCTCTGCCCCCATCCCCTTACAGCCCAAGGCAGGCTGAGGGAGAAGGAGTGCTGGCTGTCAGAAACCCTGCAATGACTAGATGGACAGGTGGGGGCCAGGAGTATGCCCTGAAGACACAGTGTTATTGTGTCTAGAGGCAATTCCAGTTAACTAAGTTTTCTGGTTAAGAGAGTCCCAGATAACAAAGTTTTCACTGTACATGCATTTAAAGTCATGCTTTGGGATAAATATATCAAGATATACAATTAGGAATATATTAGTTGTCTCTAATAAGAATCAGATACAAAAGGCATGAAATGTTTTAATTTCAAGATAGGATTCCACTGCCGGTACAGTAAGGTATACCAAAACCAAACATGGTAATAGATTTAAATATATACTTTAAATTTTAAAAAGATTATGATCAGTTTAAGACTTACTTCATCTAGTTCATTACTCTTCCTTTTCTTTCTTGTCTTGGGCATTTTAACAGTCACTGGTAAGGCATTGCCCTGATGTTTCACTTCCATCTTATTAGGATGCAGAGGTGTGAACTGAATCTCCATCTCAGGTTTAGGAAACCTGCTACCTTTTCCATTTTCTGTAGACACCTCAGAAGAGTCCAGAGCAGTGTCTGAATGGTCCTGCAGAGACATGCAGTGAATTAAAGAGAACAAAAATATTGTTGAAAAAACTTTAAAATAACCTTGTGATATGAAAAATAAAAAGTTAACATAGCCTTTTGAAAAAATCCATTCACTCCATAGATATTGGCACTTGGGAAACTGGCCATGGCATATGAAGAAGCCTACATTTTCAGCTGTTGTAAAGTTTAAGCTTTTTTCTTAAGAAAAAACAAAAAAATTAAGTTCCTTTATGGTTACAAATAGAAGTTTTTAAATGTGAACCCAATGAAGTTCTTAGACAGTTTTCTCACTGAGTCATCTGCAAACTCCAGCTTTGTTATATAGCTTCTTATTGTTTTTCAAAGCAACAGCAGAGAGAAAATATGATTGGAAAGTTTGTGCTCCTTCTACTCAGAATCCTGTTGGCAGCAACTAAGCTGACTAGAATCACATCAGGTTCATTCTACTGCTACTTGGAAATTAGCCACAGACAGGAACTATTCAGGGAGAGGCCACACTGAAAACATTGGCTAAAGATAGACTCTTCCCACCACCCCTTTATATTAGCAGAGATGCTAGAGGTATAGGGTGCTGAAATGTTGCTCCCCTATAACAGTAAAAATCTCAGAGATCGAGAAAAAGAAAGGAAAAAAGTTAAAACTTCTTCTTTCTAACAGCTCCCACTTGTGTTCCTAAGATGGATCACACATCCAGGAACTAATGAAAATCCTTGCACCATCTCATTTCTAAAATTAGGGGTGGATCTATAATATCACTCATTATGTACATATCATGTCAGTTGGCAGTTTAAAGGTCAAGATAGATCAGAGCTGGGACTGTCCAGCATATAAATCCACACAAAGGAGCGGACGTGAAGATGGGGTATCAAACTTGCCCTAAGAGTTGGCCATTTCAAGTGTCTTAAAAAAAGTCTCACTAAGAGTCAAATCATTTTGCAAACAGAGTTAGGCCTTAATTAGAGCTCATGAAGTAGGTATTATGCCTCTTTTATAGACATGATTCACCAAGTCAGCGGCAGAGCTAGGAGACTGTTCAACACCACAACATCTCTCCCTGCTATTAGCAGGGCTCTTTTTATAGCTTTTTCCCTTACAGCAACAGACTAGCAAAAAAACAGCTAGAAACAAAGAACCAGCACCAAGGGAGCTGTCAGTTCCATGCAGGCTACAATGAAGAGGCTCGTAGGCTTCCGTATAAGAATATTACACAGATAATTTCTTTAGCTTTACTGTGTCTATTAGACAAAAGCTATATCACCACATACCACAAATAATTTAAAGCTATATACCAACCTCAGTTTCATCCAGTGAAGACACATTGCTTGGACATCGTGATAATGGATTGTCTTTAACTTCACTGAAGCTTACTGGGATACTTTGTCCAGCTACAGAATTGTTTTTTCTTTGTTCTTCCTTGAGTTGTATAAGATTTAGAATTAAATAATAAGAATGCTAGAGTGTAAGCTTCAAAATTATAACATTAGCTGAATACATTTGAATTAATGAATGTTTGTCTGGGAAGCCAATATTAAAATATTTCAAAAGACTCGTGCAGTTAATATCCAAAGAAATACTATTATACCATGAAAACATTCAGACTTTATAGTTCTGTTAGCAGTTTCTCTCCTCATTCATAACAAATTGGTAAATGGCTGCCACCTGGAGAACTTAGAGCTGATTTAACATTGCTGTTGGAAACTCCAGGATTGAGTCCTGCTCTTCAGCTCAGGCCACCAGGAGTTCTTCTAAAGCTTTAGATTCATGCCAGCAACCAATCAATAGTAATAAGACAAGATCTGAAATTACTATAGCTAACCTTAAAGCAACTCTATATGGGTGTCTCCCTTTAGAAGAAAACATTATTATTTTTACAAGTTGTATTGCAATCATTTTCCAAACTACCAGTTTGGATTCAATGAACTAGAAGCTGCTAACAGAAAGAAATCAATCAGGTAAGAAATTTCCCATTCTTCTGCACTGCTTCACTCCTTTACACCAAATAGGCAATAGAAAGCAGTAATTCACAGTCATAGAGAGGATTAGTGAATGGAAGGATAAAGTAGAATTTAAACTATTGTCACACTAGGCAGAAATAGGAAGGAACTAGAAGTTTCCACAATATAAAGTGGAAACTTGGTCACTTGAGGAATTATTTGGGACAAACTCAGTAGCACTTTTATTCCAAAGGATGCCTCTGCAAAGTAGGTTTCAATACCTCCGCAAGTCTCCCTCAGGTGAGGCTCAGACACTTTCTTCCCACACTGCCACTAGAAACTTTCTAGAGAGAACCTTGATTCCCTCACTGAGTTGTTTCCCAGAGGCCTAGTGTCCAGCTAGTGCATGTTTTTACCATTTGTCTCTGGCAACTTTGGAGAGGGAATTGTGAAAAGGGTACAACTGGCATACATGTGCTGCATACCTGAGATTTATAGTCTTTAGAGGTCTAGCAATGCCCTCTTATGTCACAATGTTCCATGTCCTGAGCTCTGCTTTGGAACAAAATGATAGGCCAACTATTTCCTAATAATTGTGGGAAAAACTTGCCACGACCAGAAAGATTTCTAGAAATATCAGAATAACTATTCCTTAAAATAGAGAGGTTCTTTTATAGATGGAATAACTAATTTCAAAAATGTGCCTTTTAGAAGTAATGGCAACTAGAAAAGCTGACCTCAGGCAGGGATGTTAAATGGTAAGTGTCAGACTTACTGATATGCTCACCAGTTAACCAACCCTTGGCAATAAACTACGGCTGCAGCCAGTTGTGCTGGGCCAGAACAGCCCAGGCTGTGGAGGAGCCGGTCGGGCGAGGCAAAATGATCTCAGCGCCACAGCAGGACAACTAAGTTTACAGCAGAGCCAGATGGTAGGAGCAGAGTCAAAATATTTAACTGGGTAACTGCTTGTTTAACCAGTTAACCACGTTAGCTTATGTGGAAGTTTTGATGCATCTGAAGGTTCTCAGTTCTGAAGTTCAATGCACCTGCATAAAAAAAAAGCTGCTACAGCTGTAACCCACTTTCCTAGAAGATATTTTGTTATTATTATACAGTTTGTATTATCATAGTACATTGTGGACCAGGCCCCATTTTGCTGCACACTGTACAAACAGGAGAGGCATTCTCTGCCCCAAAGAGCTGGCCACTTTCTTTCCCATCAGAAACATGACCAGATCAAATGAATGAAATTTTATTTGTTGAGTTTTGTCTGGATTCCAAAATGTATCAACATGGCCAATAGAATCCCTACTGAACTACACTTCTTTAGATGTCCAGGTGATCCAGATCTGGAGAGGTACTTTGACCTTAGAAAAAGTGGGTAGAGTCTCTGTAAGTAGCTCTTTCAGGGAGAAATTGTTAAAGCCCTGTAGAGGCAGCTTAGGCCACAAGTGGATTCTTGGTTGGCTGCCAAATCTGTTACATGACTGTAAGAAGAAACTTCCCCTGTGGCCAAATTAGGGATGCAACAGTATAGTCGATTAACCAATTAACTGATAAGCAAAAGCTTATAGGTTAATGCTATAGACTACATACATTTATAGCGCCCCCCCCCCCCCCCCCCCACACACACCCGCCAGCATATTTTTTAGCAGGCTATACAGCAGCTCGGCTGAGTTCTGGCTTGCATTGTGTCCAGGACCTACACCCACTATGGCTCTGCATTTAAAGCATATTAGGAACCGGGTAGGCAGGCAGCCTGGCTCAGTCCTGGCTTGCACCAGGTCCAGTAGCTCAGACACCTGCCCTGGACAGTGGCTGCTGCCACCCCACGCTACTGCCCTGCATTAGGCAGTCAGTCCATGTGCAAAGCTGGTTTTTAAACCTGCTCCCCTCATGGACCAGATCCTGCCTGGCATGACACACTACTGCCTCTGATAGAGATGCAGAAGCACAGGTTGGCAGGTGGCTCTCTGGGAGTGAGGCTGGAGTGTACTGGCTACTAGCCCCACCTCTGGGGACTATAGAATAGTTGACTAACCTCTAAGAATTCATGAGGTTAATCAACTATTCAATTAATCAATATTTAATATTCCTAGGCCAAGTTATTCCAACTTTCCTATTGCATTTCGTGCACATTTTTCTGAAGCAGTGGGTGCTGACTAGACTTAGACTACTTGTCTGGTTTTCTATTGTCATTCCTGTGTTTGTGTTTATAACTTGCCACTGATAGAGGTATCAAAATCAACTAAATGGGCATGCACTCAGACTGTGAAAAACTGTACAGCACAAGGCATGAGCTAGAGACAGTGATAGAGTACTGAGCGCCTGCAAGCTGACTGCTTGGGAAGCCACTAGGGGTATGTCTACACTACCCCCCTAGCT